CATCGTACTGAAGCTGCGCCCACCCCATTGCCAGCAATGCAAAAAGAGTCAAAATACGTTACGTGACGAGTTTGACATCCATGCCTTATGGAATTCTTTTCCAATGAACAGATTATCTGATATTGTTGAAAGAGTTAAAAAATATTTGTCCTTTTAGGTTTTTTTTTTTAAATGAAAGATCATATTTGTCTGCCTTCCATAATTCTGGCCTACTTTTCCTGAAGTTCCTGAAGACTGGACGCTAAAGCATATAAGGAAAGGCTGCTGGAATTGGTATGTCTAGTTTAATGAAGAGAAGAATGAGGGGGGGACATGATAGCAGTGTTCCAATATCTCAGGGGCTGCCACAAAGAAGAGGGAGTCAAGCTATTTTCCAAGGCACCTGAAGGCAGGACAAGAAGCAACGGACGGAAACTAATCAAGGAGAGAAGCAATCTAGAACTAAGGAGAAACTTCCTGACAGTTAGATCAATTAACCAGTTAGAACAACCTGCCTCCAGAAGTTGTGAATGCTCCAACACTGGAAGTTTTTAAGAAGAGACTGGACAGCCATTTGTCTGAAATGGTATAGGGTTTCCAGCCTGAGCACGGGGTTGGACTAGATGACCTTCAAGGGTACCTTCCAACTTTGATGATAATGATGATGATGATGCCGCCGCCATGGCTCCTGTCTGGGTGCCTAAGGTGAGAGATGCAACATCTGAATGGCAATAGGTTGCTCACCAGATATTCTTGAGGATTATGGCCAATCTAGTCTGATCAATAACTACTGGATGTTTTTGTAATATAAATGTCTCTATTGTTATTTAAATTTTGGATATAGATTCTTTTACATGGTTCACTCCTAAAAGGATTTAAAACTGATTTGCTTAATGTGCTTTTACATTCAAACTGAAATGTAGATTTTTTTATTGCAAGCCATCTTAGAAAGATTGTTCTTAAAACTTAGGTAAGAAATCCATTAAATACATTCTAAGCAACCAAATAAAAGGGTACTGTAGCCAATGTTCAGATTCTAAAGTGCACTATTATTGAGATTCCCAATTACTTTAAAATATTGTTTTAATTTTTAAAAAATATTATACAAATACACACAATATTAACCATTTTAAATATTAAATACATAAGAAGTGTTAATATTTCATAATATTCCAATCATTTTAAGATTCTCCTAAATTGCTCAATCCACTTTGTGGGCCTGGGTTATAAGGAACAGCACTTGCGGCCCAAACTTTGTTATTTCAACTGAATTCAAACAAAGGATTTTAGTTTTTTTCTTTTTTACAGAAACCAGATGAAAATCTCTTCACATTGTTAATTGTCTCAAGGGGTTTTTTTTGTTCTGGATTTTTAATTTTGGGATTTAAATTAACAAAATGTCAGGGTCAAAATTACCCTTCCCTATTATGGTGTTGTTGCAGGTTTTCCATAGACAACTGCTAGCTTTGTCTATAACAGTGATGGCGAACCTTTTAGAGACTGAGTGCCCAAACTGCAACCCAAAACCCACTTATTTATCATCGGGTGCCAGGTGGGCATGGCCCACTGGGTGGGCGTGGCTGTGGTGGTCATGGCAGACTGGGTGGGTACGGCCAAATTGGGCGTGGTCACCTCAATGTTGCTCATGGGGAGGGACGCCTGTGGGGGCCAGACAGGGTTGGGGGAGATCCAGGGGGTCTCTGGCAGGTGGGGAAGTAGCAGGAGGCTTGTCCTGCGGGGTGAGGCAAGGCAAGGCGAGGCAGGGTGGGGGTACCATTGTTGCAGGGCAAGGCAAGGCAGGGGCAGCTGCTGCTTGACACCATCGGCCCCTGTACACAGAGGCCAGTGAGCGCAGGGTGGCCGACGGTGTCTGTCAGAAGCCACAGCCTGCCGGCCCCTCGACCAGCACTCTCTGAGGCTCTGCCACCCACCGCCAGCAGAGAAGCTGCCTCTGAGCTGGAAGGCTGGCCGACAGCTGAGGAGGCAATGCAGTGGGTCGTGCCCAGGAAAAGGAGAGCATGCGAGACCAGAAGGGATGGGATGGGGGGGAGGGAAACCAGCCATACCGGGATGCATCCGCCACGTGGGACCTCAGTGAGTTAGTGGGCGGCTGGTTGAAAAGGGCTGGTTGCCGTCTCCGGGGTATGGCACGCATGCTCACAGAGAGGGCTCTGAGTGCCGCCTCTGGCACGCATGCCATAGGTTCGCACCACTGCTCTAGGTAAATCCCTTCCCTTCCCTCTCTCTCACCACAGAGATTGACATACTTAACCTTAGCACAAACTGTCTGAGAATATTGACCATTGTTATCACAGGTGGCAGTCAGTTTGGTTGATAAAATATTTAATCAGACCTGGTTGTTACTTGGATGGGAAACAATGAAGAAATCTTAGGGCTATAGATAGCAGAGTTGAATATCTTATAGGAATATTGCAAGAAAGCTACATGACATATCTATGAATTCATTGCAAGCAAACTTTACTTGTGACTTCAAAATTTCATACCCATGGGAAGGAAAACAAATGGTTATTCCAGCATTTACAATTAAGCTGACACCCAAAATATTATACTTTAGTTTCCATTAATTCCATACTAGGATGATTAGTGTTTGTGCAAGCTGAAGTTAACACCAGGTTGGGAAAGACTATATTAAATCATTGTTCCACAGCAGTTCCTGTAATTACTAAGTAATTCCTGAATTACTAAGGGGTAGATGGATGATCCTAACAAACTGAATTAGAGGGAACACAAACTTTATTGTGGCAATACACGTTCTCTCAAAGGCTTGAGAGAACCTCTGATTTCAATCTCTTTTTGTAATATCTTAACAACAAAATTTCCTTTCCTTTAAAAAAAGGGGGGGGGGTTGTTTTGTTCTTTTTTACTGCAACTCTACAACTACTCTGAGTTAAAAGAAAATAAAACATTTGCATCTAGAGAAATGTGTAGAAGATTGTAGTCTTAAAGGCTAATTGGATCAAAATAACTTCTACCATCTGGAAGAGGACTAGGGTCTATTTACAGACACAAATATTTTTTAAAAAATGATTAAAATTATAGATCAGCGGTTCTCAACCTATGGGTCGCGACCCCATTTGGGGTTGATCAACCATTTTTCGGGGGTTGCCAAAGAAGGCGATCCGCCATTTTCTCCCCTCAGGGGGCGGCGCCGCACATGCGTGCTGCGCATGGGGGTGCCGCCGCGCATGTGCGCCACGCCGCACATGCACAGAACGTTTGTGTGACGGGGGTCGCCGTCACACAAACGTTGAGAACCACTGTTATAGATCCTTGTAATTCCAGGAAACTTAATATCTACTGCTAAATGTCAAAACAGCTACATTTAGATTCAGCACAGTTCAGAATGACAAATATATCAGTGAAGTAGAATATTTAGATCAATTTTTTATACTTGGCAACTTTAATATGTGTGGACTTCAACTCCCAGAATTCCCCAGCCAGCAGTAGCTTGGGAATTCTGGGAGTTGAAGTCCACACATCTTAATGTTGTCAGGTTTTAAAAAACAATAATCTGGACAAAGCTAACTTACAGTGTTATTTTTCCAACATAAAAATTAAGTGTAACATGACTTCTTCCCGACTGCTGCTGAAAACCTTTGAAATATTTGAATTTGAATAACATTCTGAAATGGACCTTTGCTGCAACAGATATAAAACAATGAAAACAGTAAACAATTGTCAAAGTGGAATTCATCATTTTGAGACCACAACATGTTCTGTAGACCAGCAATCCCCAACCTTTCTGGCTCCACGGACTGGGAGAAGCAGCAGGGACAGCAGTGGCGAGGGGATGGTTTCACGTGTGCAACCTAGCTCCTGTGAATGAGCAAATGAAGCTTTGCCTGCTGCTTGCGTGATCTGGTTCCCAAGGTACCGGTTGGAGACTCCTACTGTAGACCTAGCCCAGGGGTAGGCAACCTCAGCTCTTTTATGAGTCATAAAAGAGCCAAGGTTGCCTACCCCTGACCTAGCTAAATAGTACTGGACAAAAACCAAATCAACACAATTTGCATCGGTACTGATGCCCAAGTAATTCACATACTGTTGAGATGTGAGGCTGGGAAAAGGGCAATTTTCAAAGTAAGACAATGAAGGAACCAGGGATACAAATAGTCCTTGACCTACAACCATTTTAGTGACCAAAGTTACAGTGGCACTGAAAAAAGTGACTTATGACCAATTTTCACACTTATGACTGTTGCAGCATCCTCATGGTCATCTGCATATATTTATGTCAGTTGATGTGTCCAGGGACCATGTTATCACCATTTGTAACCTTCCCAGCTGGCTTCTGACAAGCAAAGTCAGTGGGGAAGCCAGATTCACTTAACAACTGCAATGATTCACTTAACAACTGTGCCAAAAAATAATAAAATACACTTAACTGCTTGTCTTAGCAAGCCGAAATTTTGGACTCAATTGTGGTCATCAAGGACTACCTGTATCTGCTTATGCAATTCTTTAACCATGCTGATTATACAATCAAGCTCTTATTACAACCACTGAAAAGGAACAGTCTTCTTCTACTTGAGCCCCTGAAGGGAGACGGAAATACATTTTAGCAAATACATCAGCTTGATGTCGAGCGCCGCACTGCAATTCCCGTCATTCCTCACCAGCAAAGACAAGCGCGCCAGCAAGGAATGCTGGGATTGAATGAACAACTTGAATTATCAAGTTGAGGATGCGTGCGCTAAAGTAACTTAAGTTGCCGCTTCTGTGTGTTTTTGATCCCACTTAAGGTCGTTTCAGAAGACAGGCCTCAAGGGAGGGTAGATTTTAAAAAAATAGCACCAGTTCCGTTATGAATGAGAAACGCCTATTGCAAATCTGTCCTTATAAGCCGGGTGGTTGTTGTGATCCTCCTCCAATGTACCCGCCCCGTTATGCTCTGCACGCATTTCCCCTGAAGAAGCACGAGGCGTTGCCCCAGGAGCAAAAGACCGGCGACATTCGAAACCAGGCGCGTGACGCAGCCGCGTCCAAAGGGCTTGGTTTACCTGTGGGTTTCGCCTGGAACTGGCCCAAGCGCGCGCAACAGAAGGACGGTGAGATTCCTTCTTGCTCTCCTGCCGGCTCATAATCGATAGGTTCACTCAAGCCATCGACTTCCGGAGTCATTGAGCCTTCATTTCTTTCCACCCCATTTAGGGCGGAAATGAGATCTGCCGGGAAGGAAAATCTGGAGAAATTAGCGTCGCGCTCCTTGCTTTACTCACGCTCGGGAGCGCCTTCTTTCCCTTCTCCCCGGTGCTATAAGTGGCGTATTCTGCGTGGGAAACTAATAAATTCTGAAGATTATACACTTTCCTCACTTGCCGTTTATACTGGCTCGCAACATCCTAGCAACCCACTATTCCCCTGCAACATACGTTAGTCTTGTGTCACTCCTGAGACTGAAATGGTGCTTCACGTTTTTCCCGGCTTATCTTTTACAGATTCAGCGTGTTAACTTTATTACCTATGGAACTTAATACTAATATATATACCAAACTAGCTGTGCTGATGGATTTCCAGGGTTAAGTGAGGGGAGAAGAAAACATGCCGTTGTCTAATCAGTAACCAATTAACATCTTCAAAGTGCTGTTCCACAATCGACAATAGAAAGTTCGCTAGCCATTTTGACTCGTGTTTTTAGCCACACTATGGCTATTTCGCACATCGCAGAATATGGCAACTACGCCTTCTTAAGGCATAAACGACTGTGTGGGCATAGCAATGGTTTGACAGCTTATTTAAGGTATACTTTTTTACTTCATAAAGAATATTTCTTGAGTTAAGAGGAACTTCCATCTATCCTGTACTCTTAATTAAAAAATTGGGTTATCTCTGTCATACTCACTGGTTAGTCCTCATTTCTTTTTATAGGGAAAAGGAAAAAGAATTCAGTTTTCAACTCCACATATTCTGAACTTTCCATGTCTGTGCTCAGGCTGGTGCACTTAGATCTAGAGAGAACAAGGGATGCATCAGCTAAGAGTCAATCTTAAAAAGAAAAGCATGAGGCTCCTGCAGAGTGATTGATTTTAATGGGATGAATAAATTGGGATGAAAGATTAAAATGGAAGGATGAATTTCTGTTCCACCAATTCTAAAAGATGATTGGACTGTAGATGTTCTACTACTGCAAATCTACTTAGCAGCCGATTTAAAGTACACCTATTAATATGTAACTCCTGGAAAGCATAGCCAAGGGTCACAGAAAGCAGTTAACCACACAGTTTTGTAACTGGAGTTTTGTTGCATGGAAATATCTCTGCTTAGTGGTTAGAAACCACATGCAAAGGCTTCTTCCTATTGATGTTCCAACTAGCTTCCTTCTTGGAACAACCACTTTTATACAGCTGTGCATGAAAAGTAATCAAAATACAACAATTTGCAGTTGCTAATGACTGAACTGGATCTTATAGATCTACACCAGGGGTCTTCAAACTTGGCCCTTTTATGACTTATGGACTTCAACTCTCAGAATTCCTCAGCCAGGCACGCTGGCTGAGGAATTCTGGGAGTTGAAGTCCACAAGTCATAAAAGGGCCAGGTTTGAAGACCCCTGGTGTACACCAAGAGTAAATACCCCTCAACTCAGTTTCCATTGAGTTGATACCTGCTTCTCTTTTTCTGTAGGTGACAGAATTGGTAATATTCCTGAGAAAAAGAGTTCAGGAGGCCAAACTATTACGATAGTTTGTAGTAACAGCAATAACTATTGCTACCATTATATTACTTTTTCTGCAGGAACATGAGCAGATTACATGAGTCGTCTTCATTTTAATTCTCACTGCAGTAATGCTGTCAAGTAAATTGCAGAGTGTGTGTCACTGACTCAAAGTTACTCAGGGAGTTTCTAAGGTGAGAATTGATTGAAACAGAAGACTTTGCCAGTCCCTGTCCAATATTCTTAATGACAGTATAAACTTTGGCACAGAGTAAGCCAAATTATATTGCTATATTTAACCCCTGCTTCATTAGCTGTTAAGAGTGAGATGAAGCATTCAAACAGGGTAGTTGTGAAGCATGCCTGTATGAGCAAAGCATTCCTCTTTGAAAGTTAAAGCAGGTGCTATATTATATGAAAGTCTCAGCAAAACTACTTGGAAAAGGAGTAACATATTTTGCCCAATTCTATTAGCAAAAATAGCATTTGTTACCACTTACCAATTAGAATACAGATCGAGTTTTTATACCCTAAATCATCATATGGTCCAATATCTTTGCAGACCATATTTTCCTGCAGTTAAGTCATAAATCATGACTTACATGCTACAGGGTAAGTTAATGTCCAGACAATAAAGGGTTAAGAGGTTGCACTGGGAAGAAACCTGAAAAGTAAGCATGTGCAAGACTATATCAGGATATGAAAAGTTCAAAGGCAAGTTATTATGCGACACAGAATTCTTGCAAATCTTTTAAAAAAATAAAATTATTGTATTCCTGATGGCCACGCAACAATTATGGAAGAGAATATCCTGATCAAGTGGAAAACTACCAGGTTTTGATGAATTATTATCAGCAAACAAGCTGTGGTAATCCAACATTGCTTATAAAAAAGAGAAGTGTGAAATACTATTTTCCACTTCATCAACGGTCATCTCAGAGGAGTGCCCAAGGGGAACTTCCAGTATTTGTTGTTTGCCCAGCTACAAAGTCTTTCATATGGACGATACAAATGATTGAGAGTGTGAGTATATGATGCTTATGTGACTAAAATAATGTTTTTAAAATCTATTAGTAATTTGGGGCTGTTGTGTTGTTTTCAGTAAGATCGCCTGGTGTTGCATAAAAGATTCTTAAATCTACAACAAAGGACAAACTTCTTGTAACATATAAATCATAGCAGCCAACTTCACACAATATGCTTAGTACTAACCCCAATTTTTAGGGTTCAGCTTTCATGGAAACAGATGCAGGAAAATAGACAGGAAGCCTATAAGCAAAAGCCTGTATGGACACAATCTTAACCAATCAAAGCCAACTCTGTGTGAAATACAATTCACCATCTTTATAAATTCAGATTAAAAACTAAAAAGCATATGTGTATGTATATGTAAACAATCCTTATTTTAAAGAACTTAAAGCTTGTATTTTTCAATCATCCAAAATATAACTCTTTAAGGAAAATATGTTAAAACTGCTACAATATATACAGTACATATTGGACATATTCCTCTATTAGCAACTGAGAAAGAGTGTGGTTGTAAGGAAAGATACAGCTGAAAGACCCCTGCCTTGTGTGTCTTTCATGTTGCTCTACCTTATTTAGGGCAGGGATCCCCAACCCCCGGTGTGTGGACCAGTACCAGGCGTAAAAACCTCTCTCCACATAACCAGTCCCCCCAATATTCAGCTATGGTGAGTCTCGGTTTTGATTAAACAGTTAAAAGGACAATAGTTTGCTAAGAACTTGGAAAAAGGAGCAAAGGCAGCAAGTGCCCAGGCCCACATTTCCAAACTATTCATTATTGTTTAAAATGATTACTTCAAAAGTAGCCATTATTGTTTGAAATGGTACAATACTTTTTCAAATGAGCATTGAACATCAGCTCCAGGTACCTCTCATAAAAAAAAAAAATGCCTATCCGAAGGAACTCTGGGTTGCACAAAACTTTCACTCTGGAAACTTCAGAGAATGCTCTTGTGTAGCCTTACAGTCTTTGAAGAATACATGAAAGCACACCTTGTTCTTGCAATTTTCAAAAGATTCAGAGGCTGCATGAGAGCACATTCCTTTCATGCAACTTCCAGAGGGTCTGGAGGCTATGTGGGTGTGAATACCATTCTTGTGCAGCTTCTGCAGTCTCAGAAAATTGACCAAGAATAGGATATGCTGATGTATCACCTAAAAAATGGTGTGCCACAGAGTCACCATCACCACACTAGACCAAAAATTAAAACATCATTCTTCCCCAGAGAGAGTAGTTAGAACATTTGGCCTGAGGAAAATAGTCAAGTTCTATCAGACTTTTTTAAAGCCAGAAATCAATTCCAGAGTACAACTGCAACTGAAAAAGCAGGCTTCCATATGGCAGCTCCTGAAAAAAGGACTCGGAGTGAGCCTGCCTTGCTTGAGTTTATCGGGGAGTCCTGTGTTAGTAGGAGAAGGTGGTGTTGCAGATATCCAGACCCTGAACCCTGAAACCTTTGAAAAGTGACAATCAAGACTTTAAACTGATTTCATCCATGCTAATAGACTTGACAGGTACTTTAAGAAGGCGGAAGAATTTGAGGGCTGCTATTATAGTTTCTGATTCATTCATCCTTAAGTTTGACATCATTGCTTCCATGATCTGTTTTTCTTGTTCTCTGGTGAAGAAACCAACATGCATGTTCTGAAGATGGTGAACTGGATGATGGAGCCTTTCCCCCCACTGGGTAACTTACTAAAACGATTTTTTTTCCTACTATATTTTATTCTTTCATGTAAACACTGTTCAGTGCCAGACAGACCAGCTGTTTACTTTCCAGAGAGGTATACCTCACATCTTTCAAATCTGGCCTTACATTGGGGAAAATGAAACCTTCTTTTTGGGAGGGAGGCATCTACAAGTGGAGTTCCCTATGAATGCCTCAGGACAGAAGCTGGCATACTACTTTTCAATTGCAGACTGGAGTTGGGGGGGGGGCAAACATGTAGAGGCAGGCAAGTTAAGTTGAGTTGGGATCATAGAACCTGGGATGTAATTTGATAGAAAAAGAGATTGCTCCTAAAGAGGGTTGGGGAAGAAGGCTGCAGTTTTAGTACAGGTAGTCCTTGAGTTACGACCACAATTCAGCCTAAACGTTCTGTTGCTAAGTGAATTTTGTTCCATTTTATGGCCTGTCTTGCCAGTTGTTAAATGAAACATTGCAGTTGTTATGTTAGTAACATGGTTGTTAAATGATTCTGCCTTTCCACTGAATTCTTAACAGAATAACAGAGTTGGAAGGGACCTTGGAGGCCTTCTACTCCAACACCGGCTCAAACAGGAGATCCTATACCATTTTAGACAAATGATTGTCCGATCTCTTCTTAAAAACCTCCAGTATTGGAGCACCCACAATTTCTGGACACAAGCAGTTTTATTAATTGTTCTAACTCCTCAGGAAGTTTCTCCTTAGTTCTAGGTTGGTTGTCTCCTTGATCAATTTCCATCCATTGCTTCTTGTTCTGCCTTCTGATGCTTTGGAGAATAGGTTGACCCCCTCTTCTTTGTGGCAGCCCCTTACATATTGGAACACTGCTATCAGGTCACCCCTAGTCCTTCTTTTCATTAAAGTAGACATACCCAGTTCCTGTAACCATTCTTCATGTGTTTTAGCTCCAATCCCCTAATCTTTGTTACTCTTCTCTGCACTCTTTCTCTAGAGTCTCAACATCTTTTTTATATCATAGTGGTCCAAACTAGATGCAATAGTCGAAGTGCATTATACTTACCAAAGCATTATAAAGTGGTATCAATACGTCACGTGATCTTGAGTCTATCCCTGTTAATGCAGCATAGGATTGTGTTGTCTTTTTTGGCAGCTGCAGCACACTGTTGGCTCATATTTAAATGATTGTCCACTAAGATTTCAAAATCCCTCTCGCAATTACTACTATTGAGTAATAATTACTCTTGAGAGTAAACCCACATCATCTACATGCCATACTTGCCCAGCAGATCTCTGCTGGTATGTCCCAAAGGGTGCTTTTGCAATGGAATTTCAGACATTTTGAACCATTTCACAATTTTCTGTAGTGGTGCATGGTAATTCCCTCTTAGGAGGTCTGACAAATTGTCCAATTCATTTGAGAGTTTCTTCTATATGCAAATGCCCACTCAGTTCATGGCCCCGTCAAGTTAAAGCTATTGCTGTGCTTCAATAACTTTTAATGATATCCACAGATCTGCATCTCCATTGTTGTACTTGTCAGGTGATCACATGACCCTAGCCTAGGACAAAATGTGATCACATGACCCTAGCCTAGGACATTGCAACCATGATAAATATGAGTCAGTTGTCAAGTGTCTAAATTTTGACCACATGACCATGGGGATGCTACAATGGTCGTACGTGTGAAAAATGGTCGTAAGTCACTCTTTTTAGTGCTGTTGAAATTTCAGTCACTAAACGAACTGTTGTAAGTGGAGACTACTTGTATAATGTCTCTGTGTCTCAGTTTTTGCTGGATATTGCATGACAAAAAAAGAACCCCCCCTTGCCTTTGATTAATTCATACTCTGAGTCAAGACTGCCACAAGGCACATCCTGCCTTCCAGCCCCAAATTACAGGCTGGTCTCTGCAGAACAATGGTTGTGTAGGTGAAACAATTATCTTCCACTTTGGAAAATCTGACAGTGATAGTGCCAGATATGTCTTGAACAGTTTTGTTCCATGAAAAAAGTAATCTATCTATGAAAAGTAATCTGTATCTATGAAAAAGTAATCTGTATCTATGAAAATCATCTATGAAGGTGATTAAGGTATGAATGATGGTAATTCTCAGAAACACATTTCTAAGATTTTGATCTTTTAATTGCAAAAGCCAGGCCAGCAGCAAACTTATTGGGATCAACTAATTCAACTGTTTCCAATGTTTCTAGGCTAGTGGGCACAACTGGAATTTTGAAAAAGTGTTTGTGCTCTTAAGTTTTTTTTTTCTTGGCAGTTGGACATATTTCTGAATCACTTTTTATAATCTAAGAGAGGTGTCAATGGAGGCTCAGAAACATTCTTGCAAATGCTATAAAGTTGAAGGCTGGTATTATGCATGCCATCACCATTTATTTTTTAAATACATCTTTTTAAAAAACCATAAATAGATGCCTGGGATAGGGAATTTGCTAAGCAGCAAAGTGTATGTACATGAGCACATTCAGTGGGGTGAGAAGGTATCTGGTAACCTGTAGAAGTAAACTGCTATTGTGCCAAGCAGTTTCAAAGAGTAAAATTGATTTTAGAGAGATGTGAGGACTTTCATCACCAATTTAGTGGAAACTTCCTTAACTTGTGCCTTCATTTTTCAATCATAATTTTCAAGTTACCCATCCAAAAGTTATGATGGCTGGAGTGGTGGGAACTGAATTTTGGCATAAATGAATGGGGATGCTAAATCAATGAAAAAAGAAAATTATAGTGACAAGAGTTCACTTATCTAGATCCCCCCCCCAAAAAAAACACTGAGCAGTCTCTTCCAAAAGCATTAATCCAAATCACCCCCAAGTGGTACTTCCTTGGTTTTTTTCCGAATTTTCTGGGGGTGGAGGAAAAGCAATATAACGGGTCCGGACGGAAATGAGCCACTTAATCGGGCAGCAACCTGGCACTCTTGATCCGGGATGTGGGAAAGCGCTTCATTCTTGCCTCTCATTAGTTTCACAGGGCGGAAAGTTCAGCCACTGGGCTCGTGTTGGCACAATGCCCAGCAGTTCAGTATAAGGTTACAGGCCAGGAGGGCTGGGGGCTTTGAAGCAAGGAAAGCCGCGGGCGCATCTTGCTCGAGAGTGCAGGAGGGCACTCCACCCTCTGCTAAGCCTGCTCCTTCCCTGTTCCTCCCAGTTACTATTTCCGTGCTCGGGGACGCCTCACTCGCGCGCTAAAGGAGGCGCTCCTGCTCGCCAGCTTTGGAGTCACAGCCCCGCTAACCGCTGCTGCTGCTCCTCCTCCTCCTCCTCCAGCCTCAGCTGCGCGGAACGCTTTCACGCGGCTTTGCCTCCTTTCCTTCTTCCACACGAGGGGCTGACCATGGCGACGAAATCCGGGAAATTCTGGCACGAGGCGTCGCACCAAATCGTCGCTGGCGGCTCCGCAGGTAAGCCTGCTCAACTCGATCCTCGCGCGCCCTTCAGTCCTCCCACGTTGGCCTGAAGCTTCTGGGGCCGTGAAGTCCCACTCCCACTCGGCGCGGCGCTCGGCTAGGCCCGCCTCCTCAAAGCAACGAGTGCCCTTCCGGAGCTTCTTGGGCCCGCCCTTCCCTTTTGAGTGAGCGTCTAGTAGTGCGCGGTAGGTAGGCTTGGGTGGGTGTTTCGCTCGCGTCTGTTCCTGTGTTCGGGAGAGCTGATCCTTGTTACGCCACGGTAAACTCCGTGGAGGCAATGGGGCTTTCCCTTAAAAATGGCTTGTAGAGCAAACTTTTAAAAAACTTTAAAAAACAACAACAGTTTGTAGCGTAATGCATTGTTCACGACTACTGGACTCAAAAGGAATTAGTTGCTTCTGTAGGTAGTTGAAAGCGAATTGATGTTAACGATTACCTTCCTTAAATCAGCAGGCCTGTGATTTAGATACTGTATTTTATTTTGTGATAACTAAAGGCACCAGATGTGGACTGCGGAAGTCCAGCCAACCAGTTGCAATCTAATAATCGCCCTGAGTTTTGGAACTTGCATCTTTTAAACCTTGCTATATCGAATTTATGTATCTTTGTTTATAAATTATTAGAATGTCTGTTACTCTGCTATAACGTTATGTATTAACATGATGTAACTGGAAGATTTTGCTGGAATGTGGGCCACAAATGCTGTGAATCAGAAGACAAGGGAGTGCACTGAGATTATCAGGTAGGAAGAAGCTAGGCACATATGACAAACATAGTTTCAGAACTGTGAGATAGATTAAAGGGAAGATTTAATAGGAGAAAAGGTCAAATAGGCCATTATTGGTGAAGGTCGGTACATGGGTTTTCTATGTATCATATAGGGGCTCTCTCAGCCCTACTTGTATGTGAGAGGTTTCTTACATGTAAAATGTGTGCACTCTATTAATTAACTATAGCATTATATCTATGCTGTTTCCTTTATATGTTTTAGAATGCAGGCCTAGCTCTATATTGGCTGATATTTGGGATTAGGATTTGGCAAAGAGGATTGAAGGGCAGTGTTCTATTTCCAGGGCACAAAACTGCTATTTTTCCCAATTTGGGTCTCCTAGCCATGTCAGCTGCAAGGTTAAGTGAAGTGGGGGCTGATAATTATCTAAGGTGGATTCATAGACATACCGGTATGTATCACCTGCCCCTCAATGAGAGTAAACTGGGCCTGATATTATAGGGGATCCACCACTGTGATGTTCCCTACTCCTGCTTTTATAAAGTATCTTACTTTATATTATATAAAAGACAGAATTTGTGGCTCCGTGAAACTTTGAAATCAATTTTCAGTAGTCTATAGGTTAGGAGTATATACATTCTATCAAGTTACGAGTAGCATTAGGTTTGTATGACATGAGAAGAATTGCCCTCCACAAGGTAGATGAGGGCAGAGCCTAACTGGGGGTCTAGGTTCCTTCAGCTCCCAGTCTTGGACACATCTCCTTCTCCTCCCTCCTCAGCCCATCCAGCATTCCTCCTCGGCTGGCCCACCCCTGGCCATTCTCCTTGGGCAGGGGTAGGCAACCTTGGCTCTTTTATGACTCGTGGACTTCAACTCCCAGAATTCCTGAGTCAGCTATGCTGGTTCAGGAATTCTGGGAGTTGAAGTCCACGAGTCATAAAAGAGCCAAGGTTGCCTACCCCTGTCCTTGGCCAATGGGCCCCTTGGCCTCCACTCCGCACCTTTTGGCCTGGCCCTTTTGCCAAGTCACCCTTTGTCCCAGGCCTTTGGCTGCACGGGACAGAGAGCCACTGGCCAATTGGGTGGCAGGCAGATGCCATGGTGCTGCAGGGGCAGCCCATGATGGGCGATCACAGGGGCAGTGTGGGAGGGGGCCAGCCTGCGATGCAAGATTTTTTAAAAAAGTGCTGCAGCTGTTTCACAAATTTTGGAGCTCCTGCCATTGCAGGGGGAGGAGGAGAAAGCCTGATGTGGGGCAGCAAGGAGGCGAATGGTGCTGGTGTAGCTCCTGCCATTGTGTGTGTGTGGGGGAAGCCTTGCGTAGGGCAGCAAGTTGACTCCCTGTTCGATGTGATGCCAGTTGTCCAGGAGCAGAGGCAATGTAGAGCAGGGTGGAGAAAAAAAAAAGGAAGGCTTTTTTTTTAAGCTGTCAGAGGCTCCTGGCAGAGAAGGCAACAGGCAGGCAGCGGTGGGCAGGGGCTTCCCATTTCCCCCCCCCCTTCCACTAATCAGCAGCAAGGCTGGAATCCAGGCACAGAGTCAATGACATAGCAGGCTGCCCCCCCTCCCACACAGCCCCTGCAATCGCACATCACAGGCTGTCCCTGCAGCAGCACGGCATCTGCCTGCCACCTGATTGGCTGGTGGCTATTCTGTGCAGCCAAAGGCTTGAGACAATGGATGCCTCCGCAAAAGGGCCAGACCAACAGGCAGAGGGCAAGGGGCCCATTGGCCAGGTAGAATGGCCAGGAGCGGGTCAGCTGAGGAGGAATACTGGAGGTAAATGGGCTGAGGCGGGAGGAGGGAGAAGAAGGCATGGGGAGGACATTTCAAAGCAGCCCTAAACACCTATTCTTGTCCTGTAAGCTATTTCCACATTTCATTTCATTTATTTATCAAATTTATATAACTTTCCATTTCACACAAAGTTACTCTAGGCATTGCACAATAAAATTAACAAACATTCATTTATTTATATTTCACACTTCTGAACTGCCCATCTCCCTCAAAGAGGGACATATTATAAAACCATTTAAAACATAATTAAATATAAATAAGAACAAGATCCTGAGAGCTAAAATCGGGGGGTAAAAATCACCATGTTATATGTGGTGCTCTCTGCTGCCAAGGGATCTCCAGGCCTGATAGGGAAAAAATGTTTAAATGCACAAAAGGGATCCGTATTTTTGATCTTAACTCTCAGTGAACTGGTGGTTTGGGTTGTTCACAAAACGGGTGGTGGCACGCTGCATGTACATACTACATGGTATGAGGTTAGCTTAATACTTATTTATTTCTAGGTCTCATCTATAATTGAATAGAAATTGACAACATTGGAGCTTCTTAAATAGATTCAAATATTTGTGGTTGCTGGGCAACATTGTTCCCCAACTCTGTAGAAGAATGAAAACAAAGTCAGGATTATGTTTTTCCAAACCCTTCTCTTGTTTGGAAAATATGTTATTTATTTAATGTTTTAAATTTTTCCATAGCTACATTGTCATTCTTTGGGTGAAAGTATCCATATATTATGGTGGCGGGTTGATAGAGAAATAGTGCTGTACTGTGAGATGTGAGAATTGAGGCTGAAGGAGAGTGTTTTTTCATAACGTAGTAATATAAATCAGGCCTGCACTACCTGCAGAGGGAAAGGGCCACATTGATATATTAAAGATAATTGCAGGCCATAAAGGAATACTTTATGTGCCAGTCAATAGTTTGGGGCTTAGCAGACCAGCAGCTACATTGGACATGGCAGTGGTGGTGAGGCCTGGAGATACTTGGCTATATGTCTTTTGGGATGGTGGTAGTTAATTTATTAACTTTTTTAAAAATTGCAGCATGTCACATAAGACTACTTGATAGTTGCATATTGGTAGGCCTGATATAGATGAATGCAATATTTCTAGTTTGCAGGCAAGGGCTGGAGCTATTTAAGATTGAAAGATAATGGCTTATAACTATCTTGTCTCATCAGTCCTTTTCCAACTAAATCAACTTCCACATGCCTGTAGCAAACATATTGTGCTATAGCCAGTCACACATAAAACTATTTGTTAGGTTTACTTGTAAAGTAGCCAAGAAGATCTCTTTTGGGACATTCTTTCATGATACCATTAGATACAAGGAGATGAAGAATGCTGTGTTTGTGGGCAACTACTTATTAATTGTCCCCACTGTATGGCTTGAACATATTAAAAAGGGAAGATTTGAAATAGGGATATTGCTGTATGTATATTGGTTTCTAGCTTAGACTTTCTCCTTTTAACGCGTTGCTGGCAATAGACACTGCAAAGGGAATTGATTGAGTCAAGGAGATTGGCCTTGCTGTCCCTCAGAGATATTTGGAGTCCTGTGTTGGGTAATGACTACATGGAATTAAATATGTTCCAATCTTTATTTTTCAACAGTATATTAATATTGCAGTAAATATTTAGAATCAGTTTTTTGATTTTTTTTAACATGGGTTTGAAATAATACATTTGAGTGATTTTTACTACATTGTTCTGTTGATATTAAAGCTTTGAAGATCATCTTTTTCATACAAGTGCCAAATTAAAATATGTTCTGCTAGTTCAATACAATCATAATTCAGTTGCTTTGTTAATTTTGTTTTTAAAAATACTTATTTCAATGTGGTATTTTTTTATTTCCTTTCTGCTATGGAAAATTGCTCCCATTATTGCCCTGTTTCAAAATGATTCTGCTAGAAAGTATAAAGTGACAAGATGTGTAAACTGAAGAATATTACTTATATTGCAGAATTTTTCTGCTTTCATATTAATCCTATTTTAAAAAACAACACTTTTGAAATTGCTTCATTATGCATATATAAGTCCTTGACTTGAGACCAGTTGCATAATGAATATTCAAAGTTACAATGGACCTCCCAGAATATACTCACAACCTGATTCTGGAGTTCCAACAGCTGTACATGTGTGGACACAGACAGGTCACATAGCTGCATGGCAATATGGCCAATTGCAATGTTCCTCGGACATGTGACCATAATTTATGACTTGTTTTGTTAGTTTTTAGGGTTTTTTTGGGCTGGTTTCCAGCAAAAATGCCCAAAGGAATACATTTAATCACTTAATAACCATGGCATTCACTTACCAATTGCCACATTCACTTAATATATGCAAAGTTTATTTAATGACCACTGGGGAAAAAGTTGTAAAATTGGGTTGGGTAACATAGGTGCCTTGAATATGACGATTGTGACTTATGATGGAAATTCTAAGCTCCTTTATGGTCATAA